CGCGGTGCGCCGCCTCGTGCTTCCCCGACATGGCAAAGTGAGGTGAGGGGTGTGCGCCCCCAAAAAATTGCGGAGGGGGGGGGGGGGGGGTATGGGTGTGGGTCGGCGCGCCGCGGGATTACAAGGGCTATTTGCAGTGGACAGTCCTCGAGCGCTAGTCGGGAGACAGGGCGGGGCGAGTGGTCCAGCATCTAAGTGAGTGTGGATCTAGCGTCTCGTGCCGCACGACCAGCACAGCGAGCGCTGTCACAGAGAGGACGAGGACGAGGAGGTAGCCTGCAGGTTCGAAGGGGGGGGGGGGTTAAGAAGCGGACTCTGTCTCGAAAGAGCGCGAGAGGGGCGCGTCCCCGGAGAGGGGCGCAGTCCGGCGAGGGCCGAAGAAAGCGCAGCCAAAAGACCGCGCGAGAAAAGGGGGTGCGGAGGTGGCCGCATCTAGCCCCAGCCGCCAAAGCCGAAGGGGTTGCTGGTCGGCGAGAGGAGCCTCGCGAGCGCGGGCGCATCGTACGACACGACCTCGGCAGGCGCGTACCAGCCCGTGACAGCTATCCCGCCCAGAATCAGCGCCCCGCCGTGGTAGTCGCATCGCCGCAACTCCTCGTGCAACACGCAGCGCGAGAGGGCGGCGTTGGCGACCACGATGGTTGCCATCAGCGCCGCCGCGAGAGACGCGGGCGTGAAGGCGAGCGCGAGGACAAAGACGCCGTTCCCGCCAAAGTAGACGGTGAGGCCCGCGAGCCAGATGGCGTGCGTGCGCGGGACGCGCGCCAGCGGCCCACGTATACTCTGCGTGCCGCAGCAGTCTCCGAGCAGCACGTGCGGCTCGATGAAGGTGAGCGCATATTTCTGGATGGTGATCCCGATGGCGAGTAGCAGCACGGAAAGGAGGCAGAGCGCTATCCCGATGGCGCCGCCGCTGCCGTCCTCGCCCGCAGGAGCGAGCGGCGGCGGAGGAGGCGCGGTGGACGCGGAGCAGCTCATCGCGACGTCCTTGCGACGCGGCGGGCGTCAGCACTGCGAACGCGGACGGCGCCGCGGCGCGTTGGAGCGCCCTTCCCAAGGATGTCACAGTCGCAAAAAAAGAATTTAAACAAGACAACTCTCTCTCACAGCACACAGGCTCGACACAGGTGCGAACTGGCGCGTGCTAGTACTATCACCGGCACACCAAAAAAAGAACTCGCGGAACGCAGGCCTCCCGGAGGGCCCAAATCCAGAATTGGCGGGCAATTGACCTCCCGCCGCCGCCGCCGCCGCCGCCACCACACGCCGCCGCCAACGCCGCCGCCACACGCCGCACGCACCCGCGCGCCGCAGCGCGCCGCACGCCCATCCTCCCCCTCGCCCGCGCGGCAGGCACGATCTCGTACGCGCAGCTCTGCCAGCTGGTGGAGGTGGAGTGGAGGCGGCACGGGCCGCCCGCGGGCCTGTACATGCAGCACCGCGCCGCCGCGCCGATCGCGCCGCAGCGGGCGCTGGCTTGAGGGCGCGACGGCGGGTGCGAGCGTGGCAGTGTGCGGCGTCGCTCAAAGGTGGAAAGGAGGAGGCGGCGCGCCGATTAGCGGCATGCATCTGTGGCGCACAAGGCTGGTGTGCTCGACAGGGGCCCCTCGCTGCGTGCGCGTGTGATGAGGCCTGTAACCGCAGCCTGGGCTAGTACAGTCTACAGAGCCGTGTAGCCTGGTCGGCTGGGTTGCACACTGCACTTCACATGCGCTGGCGTGCGAGAACCGCGAGATGAAGAGGAGAGATGGGGTCCGTCCCCGTCTGCCATACCTCTCTTTTTCGCGTTCTCAAAATCATTCAGTCCAAAATTGCTGGTAGAGCTAGTGGTAGAGGCTCAGTCTCAGCCTGCACCGCCGACGAGCGTCTTCTGCGCGCAAACCGCACGGACAAGCTCGCGTCAGCCTCCACCGATGCTGAGGGTGAGGCAAAGCCCCGGCTGCGAGCCCGGGCGAGCAGACCGGTCCGGACGGAGTAGCCGCGGCCCTCTCGCCGGGGCGTGGCGCCGAGCGCCTTGGCCAAGAGCGCGAGCGACACCTATGGTGTCAACACCGCATCATCCATCCGCAAAGACAGAGACGACCCTGAGCACCATTGCTCCAAAAGCTGACAGTGAGAGCCATCGAGCCGAAGAGAAATCACGACTCTCACAGTGATTTGGGCTCGGCAGCTTGTTAGCCCTCAGCCGAAGCTGGGGCCGGTCCCGTAGCCGAGAGAGCCCGCGCCGATGAGTTCGACGCGGTCGGGGGGGCCTGCGAAGAGGCCAGCGAGATGGCGATCGCTGTGGGCTCTGCATGCTGATGCTCTCTCTGACTGACTGACTGACTCTGTCTGTGACTGTGTGCACTGTGGTCGTCGCGCGTGAAAGGAGCAGGCTGGAGGGCAGTTTTCTTCGTTTTTCTCTCTCCAACGGCGGCACGGAAACGCGAACGGGCGCGGAAACGAGAGAGTTCGCACTTCTCTGCACTCGACTGCGCATCCCCCCCCCTTCCCCCGCACGTCCCTCAAACTTGCTTGAGGCGCGTGAGCAATGAACGCGGCAGCAAGCACAAAGAGTCTGTGCACGCATTTGCACATATGGCCGACGCCGCACCTCTCCTAGCTCCGCGCCTGGGCGCGGCCACTCGCGACAGCCGCCGCCGGCAGGTGCTCTCCATCGTGCGGCCGAAGCGTGGTGGGAAGCGCGCCGCCGCCACCGCCTACGCCTGGCTACTCGCGGGAGCCACCCTCCTCTGCGTTGTGCAGCTGGTGGTGGCAAGCTATCCAGAGCTCGGCGACGATCCAGCCAACGACGTCTACTTCTTCGTGGCGGACGCGGTGCTCTCCTCCATCTTCCTCGCCGACTACAGTCTGCGGCTCTACTCTGCGCCAGAACTGCCTCGGATGGTCACGCGCGGCCTCGCTCCAGGAGAGGCGAGGCTGCGCTGGGTGTTATCAGGAGAGGCCGTCGTGTACGCACTCTCCACCTTCCCCTTTTTCCTCGACCTGCTTGTCGACGGCCGCTATTCGGGCGTGTTTGACAGCGGGCTCAATGCCAGCTGGGTTAGCACCTCTAGATGGGCCTCCCAAGGGGACACAGGGTAGGCTCTCGCTCACACGACCGACCCCGTGCAAGGTGCGCGTCTTTCGAATCCTCAACATCTTCCGCACGTCGGAGTACTCGGCCGCCGTAAACACGGTGCTACGCGTCCTCGTCGTCAACCGAACGATTCTGCTCGCCTCGCTCGCGATGGTGCTCTTCATGGTTTTACTCACTGCAACCCTCCTCTACTCGATCCTCCCCGACGCCACGCTCGCCGCGAACGGCATCCGCTCCATCCCGGACGCCGCTTACCTCGCCGTGCTCATGCTCACCGGACAGGCGCTGCCGGAGGGGTCCCTTTCCTCGGGCACGCGGCTCATCGTGCTCTTCACCTCCTTCTTCTCCGTGCCCATCTTTGCCGTGCCCGCCGCGATGCTGACCTGGGGCTTCGAGGGTGTGCGCCGAGCGTGGCAAGCGATGAATGCAGGCTGCGCGCCGAGCGGCCGGCGAGGGTTGTCTATAGGCGAGGCGCAGCGACTCGCGGCGCGCGCGGCGCGGCGGTTCGAGCGCAAGCAGGCTTACGGCGAAGGTGCAGAGTCTGCAGCGGGGACGATCGCCGCCGAGTCGTCCGACGACAGCGACTCCGACTTTGAAGAGTACCTGCGCACGGCAGCGGGGGCGGAGGGGGACGACGGCGAATTTGCGGAGGAGGCGCTGTCCTTCTTCGAGAGAGCAAGTTCGGACGCGGTGGGGGGTGGCGGCCGTCTCCTGCCAGAGGCGCGCCGCCTGGCGCAGGAGATCGAGTCGAAGCAGCAGCGTGCGGCGCGGACGCGGCACTTGCGCTGCGACGCGCTGCACCTTGTCGAGGCGAGCTATGGCGAAGACAAGCCGGACGGGCATGCAGAGGCGCTGATGGAGGCGCGCCTCCAGAGCTTTGCCCAGCTCGTGCACTCGTCACGGCAAGCAGAGGCTTCGACGCCGCTAGCTGCACCACTGGTGAGCGGGTCGGGCGCAGATGTAGAGGAGGAGGTGGCCTCCGGGGCACTGGTGGGTGATGCGCAACTGCGGCGGCTGGAGGCGGTGCTGGACCGGCGTCTGGCCACTATGGATGCGCGGCTCGCGAAGCTCGAGGCGGCGCTGGTGCACCGACTGTCGTCCCGCAGCGCATCCCGCAAGTCGCTCGTCTACGCGGGCTCTCTCGGCTACGGGACCGGCCCCAGCTTCGGCTGAGGGCTAACAAGCTGCCGAGCCCAAATCACTGTGAGAGGCGTGATTTCTTGTTGGTTTTCTAAAATCTCTCTCTCTGAAGAACAACATCTCTCTCTCTCTCTCACTCTCTCTCTCTCTCTCTCTCTCTCTCTCTCTCTCTCTCTCTCTCTCTCTCTCTCTCTCTCTCTCTCTCTCTCTCTCTCTCTCTCTCTCTCTCTCTCTCTCTCTGAAGAAAATGTTCATGAAGGTGCGCGGCATGGAGAGAGCATTGCCGCTCACGCCGCCTCTCTCGTACGTCGCGTTGACCCGCCCGCCGCCCTCAAGCCACGCCAGCACCGCCTCCTCCTCGCCTCGCCCAGCCGCTGCCACGACCGCATCGGGGGCTGCCAGGACCACGCTCGGCGCCCGCCCTTCCGCCACCGCTGGAGATTGCGTCTCCGCGACTCTCGATCCGGCCGAGGAAGCGCCGCCGGAGGAAGTGCCGCCTGCGCCTTCGCCGCCGGCTGCCGTCACCGCGGGCCGTCCCGCCACCACCTCCTGGAGGTGCTTCTTGAAGGCCTCGACGCACTCGGCGTGGCCCTTCTCCTTGGCAACCTGCAGCGCTGTCTTGCCGCCCCTTGGCAACCCGTCTCTAGAGCGCCCCTTCCTATCTGCTCCCGCCCGCAGCAGGCGGAGCACGACGGCGGGGCGGTTGAAGAAGGCGGCGCCGATCAGCGCAGTCCAGCCGTCGCAATTCTGCAGGTTGACCTCCGCGCCGTGCTGCATGAGCAGCTCGACCACCCGCTCGTGACCTTTGTTGGCGGCGTACATCAGCGCGGTGTTGCCCTGGCTGTTCTGCAGGTTTATCTCAGCCCCGTGCAGCAGCAGCAGCTCGATCACCCGCTCGTGGCCGTTGTTGGCGGCGCGCATCAGCGCGGTGACGCCGATGCTGTTCCGCAGGTTGACCTCCGCGCCGTGCCGAATCAGCTTCTCAACCACCCGCTCTTGGCCGTAAAGGGCGGCGTACATCAGCGCGGCGAGGCCGCTGCTGCTCTGCTGGTTGATCTTCGCCCCGTGCCGAATAAGCGACTCGACCACCCGCTCGTGGCCGTGGCTGGCGGCGAACATCAGCAGCGTGATGCCGCTCACGCCGCCTCTCTCGCACGTCGCGTCGGCCCGCCCGCCGCCCTCAAGCCACGCCAGCACCGCCTCCTCCTCGCCACGCTCAGCCGCTGCCACGATCTCATCGGATACCGCCGCGGCACCGCTCGACGCCCGCTCCGCCGCCGCCGGCGACAGATTGCCCGGCCGCACCCGCACGCTCTCGCCGCTGACCTCGAGCGCCACAGCGTACCGCCCGCCCTCGAAGCTCCGCGCCACGCCCCGCTGCCCGTTCAGCTCGGGGCGGGAGGAGAGCCCGCCGAGCACGACTCGCTGGCCGAGCAGCGGCGCGTCGGCAGGCGACGTGCCGGCTTCGTGCTGCATCGCCACCCACTCGTGCTGTTTCTTTTGAGCAGGCGCAGGCGCGGAGGGGGGCAGAGCCTGTAGAGGATGTAGAGTGTAGAGCGCTGTAGAGCTGTAGAGATGTAGAGCGCTCTGGAGCGCTGTAGAGCTGTAGAGCTCTACATCCGCCGCGTGACGAACTGCCTGTGTTCGGCTGAGGGCTGAGGTAGAGCCCGACCGACAAGAGCTTGCCGAGCCTGACCTCCCGAAGGCGATGCGCGAACCGCGAGAAGGAGCGGTGCCGGTGGGGTCCTCACCCCGGCGGCCCACGCACGCCGTCTGAGCCCCTAGGCCTAGCGCAGCGCGAACTCGCTCTGAGCCTAGCGCAGCGCGAGATTTGCGCAGCAACCTGGCCGGGCAACCCTTACTTACGAAGAAAGTTATAAAAATCTTTAATCATCAGGGTAACAGGGACGTCAAAGACAGTGGTCAGTACACTCTCAGCTCAGCACAAGGAGCACGCACCACAGCTTGTTTGTGGGAGGGGGCGCATGTGCACGTGCATTAGCTGTGTCGTAAGGCGCGATACTCTCAACTCTGCCGCGCGGAGAGGGGAGGGGGGGGCGAATTCACCGCCTGCTCCCGTCACTCTGGCCCGCAATACTTCTGGAGGATGGCGGGCTCGGAGAAGGTCAGGAAGCAGTCCCGGGGGCCTATTCACACTTGCGGCCGTGAAGCTTTGACGCGACTGTGGGTGCTCACGTGAGCTGGGAAGGGGCTGGCTGGGTGGCTCGTTCGTGGGGGGCAAAGTGTGCTCGTCGCTTTCCTCTTGCGATCTGTCTATCATTGAGCATGGCGGGGCGCCGCCGGGGATACCGGCGAGTGTCTTGTCTTGTGGTTCTGTGTGTCGCTCCTGTGTGACCGTCAACGCCCGTCTTGCGTCCACCCATACCGCGTTGGTGTCCCAGCCGTTGGTCGGACTGTGTTTCGCCTTCCCATCTATCTATCTACCGGCTTCGAGGGGCAGGATGCTGATGCCCTCCGGCTTGGACTTTGTGGGGACCGAGAGGGCGAGGGGCGGTCCAACAAGAGTGCCGTCGGGTCGCATGAGCAGCACCTGCTTCGACTTGTCCGAGATGACGAGGAGGCGGTCGCCGTCTGTACCCGGACCTGCGCCCGGGACGTGGGAGATGCCCGCGACGTCTCCGACCGACGTCACGGTGGCGAGGAGCCGCTTGGCGTTCGGCGGCTGGCGGTCCATCCGCAGGGCCAGCGCGGGTTCCTTCTCCTTGAGAAAGTAGAAGGCGTCCTCGCCGGGGGAGTACGTCACTCCCTCCACTCCGCCCGCCGTCTGGGTAAGGTCACTTCCGTACCCCGTCTGGTGCACCTGAGGCAAGGTCAGGTACACTTCTCCACACACACGAGGTGGTGGGGCAAGGGCCAGGCTGTCCCTCGCGTCTGACTCCACGTCTAACGACAGGAGCCCCACGGCATTCAAAGTGCAAGGCCCGGTGCGCGTGGGTGAGCGGTGTGTGTGTGTGTGTGTGTGTGTGTGTGTGTGTGTGTGTGTGCGCGCCTTGCTCGCGCCGGCACGGTCGATGACTCCCCCGCCCGAAGACACGGCCGGCAGCGTCACCTGAGGGAGGAGAGGGGAGGCAGAGAGGGGCTGAGCGATGCAGGCTGAGAGAGGCTGAGAGAGGCTGTGGCCGAGACCGGGTGAGAGACATACTGCTGCTGGTGCTGCTGCTGGTGCTGCTGCTGGTGCTGCTGCTGGTGCTGCTGCTGGTGCTGCTGCTGGTGCTGCTGCTGGTGCTGCTGCTGGTGCTGCTGCTGGTGCTGCTGCTGGTGCTGCTGGTGCTGCTGGTGCTGCTGCTGCTGCTGCTGCTGCTGGTGCTGCTGCTGCGGGTGCTGCGGGTGCGGGTGCTGCTGCGGTTGCAGTCTGCACCTCCACAAGTGCGCCGCTCCGCTCCTCGGCGAGGACGACGGCTCGCCCGCGGAGCAGCGCCACGCCCTCCGTGTCCACAAAGTTCGTCAGCGGGTAGACGGCGGCGAGCGATGGCCCGCCCGTGGCCTGAAAAAAGACACACGCGCGCTCGTCACCACAGCGGGGGGCGGGGGGGCTGTCGATCTGGGCCTCGAGATATGCGGAGATGTGGGGAGGTGTGGATATCCGCACTACCCCATCTGGGCCTCGACATATGCGGAGATATGGGGAGATATTCCGCATCTAGGCTGGCCGCGGGGAGGGTGTACTCGCGCAGCTCCGTCGGCTTGTTGACGACGACGACGAAGCGGAGGGATCCGTCGGGCGTCGCCTCGAGGACCGCACCGTCCGACAGGTTGTCTGTGATGCCGGCGAGGATCCAGTTTCCGACCCTCCTGAACCCCGACAGAGTGTTCAGCACGGGCCGCGGGGGCGGCGGCGGCGGCGGAGGCGATGGCGGCGGCGGCGGAAACGGCGGCGGCGGAGGCGGCGGCGGAAGCGGCGGGGGCGGCGCGGGCGGGGGCGGCGATGGTGGGGGCGGAGGCAATGGCGGGGGCGGAGGCAATGGCGGGGGCGGCGGCGGGGGCGGCGGCGCGGGCGGCGGCGCGGGCGGCGGCTGCGGCGGCGGCGCGGGAGGGTTGATGAAGAGGTACGCGTAGAGGTCGAATGGCGGCGGCGACTCGTCCCCTCCCGCCGAACTCTGGCGGCTCCCGCCGCTAAGCCCGGCCACCAGAGGGACGCCAGCGCTGGCCAGATAGAGGGACGCCAGCAGCGCCGCACTGACGCCCAGTACGAGCCAACCCTGCCGCCACCGGCCTGGCACGTGGGCCTTTGCAGACGGGCCACCCTCCTGCAGCCGCCGCCAGTTGTCGTCGCCCGGGTTCTTCTCCCTCGACATGATGTGCACCTGACGAAGTGGACAAGTGGAAGCTGTGATCGGCAGGGGTTTCGACCCGCGGCCGATCGGCTCTGGCGAGCCAGGAATCGCAGATCTCGTTGTTCCGGGAGGCGGCGTGCTTTTCGCGGGGAGTGTGGTGCTCTCTCTCTCTCTCTCTCTCTCTCTCTCTCTCTCTCTCTCTCTCTCTCTCTCTCTCTCTCTCTCTCGGTTGCTTACCTGTGGTGTGCGTTTTTGTGAATATCGCGGTCAAGCACGCCCGCCGTCTTTAGGCGCTGTACAGTTGTATTACGCGAGTGGACCCCAATGTGTGTGTGTGTGTGTGTGACACTCACACAAAAACACAACCCCGGCCCCCCAAGACGCACAAGCTCAGACCGAGAAAGGGATAGACAGCAGCGACACTGCGACAGTCAGAAAGAAGTCAGCGATGGGTCCCAGGAAGGCGAATGCGATGACGGCCTCTAGTGTGAGCTCTAGCTAGTGAGCTCATCGCTACTAACTATGTATATGCAGCGAGTTAGGAGCCGACCGACCGACCCTCGCGTCCGGTGCTCACCGACGGCCGGGCGGGCCACCCGCCCACGCGCCGCCTACGTACGGCTACGCGCAGCGCGTGCGCCGCAAACTCGCCAGCCGAGAGCGCCGGCCAGTCGCCATCGGCCGTCGCGAGAGGCCTGCCCGGCTGTCGCCGCGGGGCCCCCACGAACACCACGCGTCGGATGCGGTGCCGCGCGAACTCGCGCGCAAAGTGCACGCCCCACGCCCGCCGCAGCGTCGTAGCGAAGTAGGACCGCGCCTCCTTCGCGCTACGCGCGCCGATCCGCCTCCAGTGCTGCTTGGATGCCGACTCCACCACACAGTCGAACAGCTGGTGCAGGTCGTCCGACGCCTCCGCGTAGGCCCCGACAACGAGGCTGCGCACGGTGCCAAACGAGCGCAGCACGGACGCCAAGGCGAGCCTCGTGCCGTGCCCAAGACGCACCCGAGATCCAGCGGAGGGATGTGACGCACCTCCCCCCCCCTCCCCCGTCAAGCGGAGGGTGAACCCCCCTCCCCCCCCCTCCACCTCCCCTGTCCAAGGTGAGCGAGGTGTACGAGGCGCGCTTGGCGCGCGCGCGGATGGACAAGGCGGAGCGCGAGGCGTAGCTCGATGGTGCGCGTGTGCCCACACGGAGGCCCCCGCCCCGGTGACGAGTGGGCGCGCTCTCTACACTGGCGCGTCGATCATCGCTCGCGAACGAGACGGAGGCGAGCCGCCTCTCTCTGCCGGCTGGTCGGCGCTGGCCTGTCCCTGTTTCTGTCGGCTCTGACTGGTACGGCTTTAAATGTACGTGGCTGGGTTCACAGCGATTGTAGGAAAACGAAGGGACCAAATCACGGTCGCGGCCTTCCGACTCGCGCCTCCGCCTCACTGGCACTAGGAATCCTATTGTAGCCCTGGCCGGTGCGCGTGCGGAGTTGAAGTTCCGGAGTAAAAATTCCAACGCGTTCTCTCACGGTGACCAAAAAATGTCCACCTCAGAGGCACCTCCGGAGGCAGGCCGCCGCACGCCGGCGACACAGCTCCAGCTGTCGAACTGACCCGCAGCTCCTCTCAGAGCGGGAACTGTGACGAAAGTTGACTGAGGCGGTTGTCAGGAATCATCATACGGATCACATGGTTGCTCTTTGATGACGGGATACCGCCCGACCACTCCTGGGTGGCACTGCCACCGGTGTCGCTCGACGTCCTGTCGACAGCGTGCCGACAGCGACACAGACCATGTGGGACGCGTCGAGTATCGACCTCTACTGCTTACCCAGCCTTCGAGTGTATCCTGGCTGTGGTCCCACACCCACTGGTGTCCATCTCAGAGACCGCAGGAGGTCATGAGGGTCGATGGGAGTGCCAACCCCACAATGCCTAAAAACCCAGCCCAGTATCTCTATCTGCCTCTGCCCATGCCCCTGTCTCTCTAGAGCCCAGTGGGCCACTGTCTCTGCCTCTTGTCTCTGTCTATGCCAATGTACATATGCATATGACGTCGCTAGCTGTACGTCGCTAGCTAGTACGTGTGTGTGTCATGTGATGTTGGCCCATCTCTATGTGTGGCTTGTGGTTGTGGTCGCTGTCGCGGTGCACGAGTGGTGTGTGGCCGCTCGCGCGGAGGGCCCCTGAAGCAGAACCAACAACGACACTCAAATTGACCACCACGGGACTATGCAGCGAGCTCCACCCCTCCCACAAAAGCGTCCTCTCACTCTCGCCCTTTTTCAGCGATGGAGATCGCATCGCGGAGCCCCCCTGAACAGACAAGACCACGGGACAGCGAGCTCACCCCCCCTCCTCCCTGTACCCACCTTCTTCCCAGCACATGCCTTCAACCACGATCCGTGCGCCGGCGCCAGTAGCAGTACTGTACTTGGATGCTGTCAGGTTGCTGTCCTTTGCGCGCGGCTAGTCGGCATCCGCCTTGGCCCTCGCAGCGGCCGCTGACGCGCGCCTCGCCTTGCCGGCAGCCAGTGCCGCCTCCGCCGCCTCCGCCGCCTCTGCCGCCGCCGCCGCAGCCGCCGCCGCCGCCGCCGCCGCCGCCGCCGCAGCCGCGGCGGCCGCCTCCTCCTCTGCCGCTGCCAGAGCGTCGGCCTCGGCTTCAGCCTCCCGGCGCGCCTCCGCTGCCACCAAGGCTGCCTCCTCACCCGCCTCTGCCGTCTCCTCCTCGCTCGCCTCGCCTGCCGCCTCGGCCTCCTCTCCCAACGCCTCCGCCAACCCCGCGACCGACGTCTCCGCCGTGATGCCGTACCGAATCCGCTCCTCGTGGAGCGTCTCGAGAAGCCTGATCAACCCCTCCCTGTCCAGCTTCGCGGGCTTGGCTGCGTCTGCCTCTGACGGCGCCTCGGACTCCTGCGACGGCCCAGCGCCGCCGCTCCCGCCGCCCTTCTTCTTCTTCTTGCCCTTCTTGCCCTTGCCGCGCTTCTCCGCCTCGACCTCCGCCAGCAGCTCCTCGGCGTGCCGCGCCGCCTCCGCCTCCGCCGCCGCCCGCTCCGCCGCCCTCTCCGCCGCCCCCGCAGCCCACGCCGCCTCCTTCGCCGCCTTCTCGGCCGCCGCCTTGGCCGCCGCATGCTCCTCGAGGGCACGCACGCACTCGGCGTGGCCCTCCTGCTTGGCAATCTGCAGCGCCGTGAGCCCACTCACCGAGCGCAGCTCCGTGTCGGCGCCCGCCCGCAGCAGGCAGAGTACGGCCGCTGGGTGGTTCATGAAAGCGGCGATCATCAGCGCGGTGCGGCCGACGCTGGTCTGAAGGTTGATCTCCGCGCCGTGCCGCAGCAGCTCGACCACCCGCTCGTGGCCGTTGAGGGCAGCGCCCATCAGCGCGGTGCTGCCGACGCTGTTCTGAAGGTCGATCGAAGCGCCACGCTGCAGCAACGCCACGGCCAGCCGCTCGTGGCCGTAGAAGGCGGCGGCCATCAGCAGCGTAGAGCCGCTCACACCCACAAGAGTGAAAGTCGCGTCCACCCGCCCGCCGCCGTCGAGCCACGCCAGCACCGCCTCGTCGCCCTCCTCAGCCGCCTCCACGACCTCCTCGGGGACGGCATCCTCGTCCGTTCCGCTCTCCATGCCGCCAGAAGAGGGCGCGGCAGTTGGTGCCGCCGCTGCCCCCTTGCCCGAGGCGGCATCGCCGTCCGCCCCTGCGCCGCCCGCCTCGCTGATCTCCTCGGGAACAGGCCCGCTGCTGCCGTCCGAAGCGCTGCCTGCCCCCGCGCCGCCCGCCTCGACCGCCGCCGCGTCGCGCCTCTCCGCCGCCACCTCGCCGAGAAACGTCTTGACGGCGGCGACGCACTCGGTGTGACCCTTCTCCTTGGCGATCTGCAGTGCCGTCTTGTCCGCCGTGCGCAGCGTCATGTCTGCGCCCGCCCGCAGCAACTGGAGCAGAACAGCAGGGTGGCCGTAGAAGGCGGCGCCCGTGAGCGCAGTGCAGCCGCCGACGTCCTGCAGGTCGACCTCTGCGCCGTGCCGCAGAAGCAAGTCGACCACCCGCTCGTAGCCTTGGTTGGCGGCGAGCATCAGCGCGGTGATACCGCGGCTACTCTGCAGGTTGATCTCCGCGCCGTGCCGCAGCAGCTTCTCGACCACCTGCACGTGGCCTTCGTTGGCGGCGGCCATCACCGCCGCAAAGCCTTTGCTGTTTTGCGCGTCCACCTTCGCGCCCCGCTTCAGCAGAACCTCGACCAGCTGCTTGTGACCTTCGGTGGCGGCGATCGCCAGGAGCGTAAAGCCACTCACACCGCCACGCACGCACGTCACGTCAGCCCGCCCGTCCCCGGCGAGCCACGTCTGCACCACGCCCGCCTTGCCGTCCGCCGCCGCGGCTTGGATCTTTTTCGGCAGCGCGAGCAGCGCAGCCTGTGGCGCCGTTGAAGCGCGCCCTTTGCCAGCTCCGGTTCGGCCGGGCATGGGAGCGCTCGCGCCCCGCCCCCCCCAGCAGTTTGTTGGAATAAAGAATTCCTTTGAATAGAGAAAATTAAACTCCCTCGCACAACACTGGGCACGGGACTGGCGCGCACTGGCACTAACACAGTTGGAATAAAGAAATGCGTCTGGTAGCTAGTCCCGTGCCCAGTGTCGTGCGAGGAGCTATGTCGTAAATTTCTTAGCCCAGTCTTACCGCAAGGATTGGTGTAACGCGATCCACGCAGGCGCGTTTCTGACGGCCGACCGTCAGTGTGGTGCGCGGAGTCGCCCCCAGGCCTTCTCCGACTACATGTACGCCCGCCCGCGACTGACTGTCGGTCGGCTAGAGCTAGTGTCTCTCCTGCCTGAGGCTGAGGCCGCGGCGCGCGGGAGAGACCCCTGCCCCCACCGGACCTATAGCGTGGTGGGGAGGAGAGGGGCTCGCTGCGAGGAAGGGCGGTGTCTAAGACGGGCCGCCAATTCCCCATGTGCAAAGCCCGTCCCACCCCTTCGTCCCCCGCGCCATCGGGCCCCGCCGCTTAAACGGCGGGCGGGGGGGCATGGGGACGATTACGTCACGGTTTCGTGTGACGGCCTCGAAGCCAAAAAAGGTTGCGGTTGTTTTCCCAGGATGACGTGTCAGCTGAACCTGTGAAGGGCCCAGGTACGATCGTACGAAGATTCTCAAGCAATTCATAATTAAGTGAGGACGTGTCAGTTGTGAAGGGCCTGCTTACCTCGCCTCGTGCGACTTCTAAAATTCTTCTACTCGAGTACGCCCGCCGCCAGTCTGCAGGTCTCGATTCACGCAGACACAGCTCCGGTTCCTGTTCGGTCCTTGCACGCTAAGCGCAGACAGCAGCTCTCAAACTGCTTTTAGTAGGCATCGCGGGATGTTTCCACGTGGACTTAACATGGCGGGCCGCTCCCGGAGCTTCTCGTCGTTTTTCGAAGGGCTCGGCTTGGATCCGCCAAAGGCCGGCAAGCGCCGCACGGCTGAGCGGATGGACCCCAAGACGTTCTTTGCAAACGAGCGCACCTTCGCGCAGTGGCAGGCCGCGGGCATGCTCCTCCTCACCGTCGGCATCGCTGTCACCAAGCTCGAGGATTCATTCGACACCGACCAGCTCGGCGGCATGACCGTCATCGGCTGCTCGCTTGTGATTATGCTGTACGGCCTCGTCTCTTTCCTGCACCGGCTCAAAAAGATTAAGCGCAAGGACCCGACCGGGTATGACGACCCGCTCGGCCCCGTCGCGCTCATCTTCGTCCTCTTCGCCGCAGTTGCCCTGTACCTCCGCCGCATGTACGGCTTCAATTGGGACACTGAAGGCATGCTCACGGCCGACACGCCCTTCTTCGAGGCCTTCAAGGTGCCGCTTACCCCCCCCCCCTCCCTCCCTTTCTCGTCTTCTCTTCACAGCTGCTGCGTCTGTGAGCAGGTCCCCCTTGCCCCATCGCACTTTGCGGACGAGGCGGCCGCCGTCGAGGTGGTGGCGAGGGCGCTGCAGGCTTCGGCCGCCGTCGCGTCGGTCACACCCCTTTCGCATGAGACAGCTTCCGAGTCCTGCCACTCACGAGTCATGGTTGTAGTGATTGGGGCCGGCATAGGTCACTCTCGCAAACGCGACCTTTGAGCTCCTGCGCCGCACGCACCTCGACACGCACCACGCGACTCCTCTCCACTCCTTCCGAGAGATTTTCAACGCCAGCGGCACGGCGGTCACGCTCACCACGCTGCTGACGGCCGCGGGAGCGCGCCGCAAGAGCCGCAGCTTTGGCTCCGGGAGCGGCAAGGGGACGCTGACAGGCCTGGCGATGAGCATCCGCGGTGGCGACTTTGCGGAGCTCGCCTCCACCGCCGCAAACTGCGTTGGACGGTCGCGGCGCAACGGCGCGAAATCACATCTGAAATGACTCAAGGTGGTACAGTGGACACCAGTTGCGTATCTAGGTACGCGGCGCACTGCGACGTCAGGATCGTGCGGACCTCGCACGCGATGGCGAGGGAGCTCACGGTCACGCGCGTGCCGCACACGGCGTCGGTCACGTCGGTCCGCGGCGGCCTGAATGTGGGCACTCCATGGAGTGAGTACGTCTCATCAGCGTCATGCTCGAATGAGTAGGCTGCCGACTTGGGCTTCGTCCGACACGTCAAGCATCATCACGCCCCATTCCAGTCATCTGATCCTGAGTAGGTTGGCGATCAAACTATGTATATATACTTTTGTCTCTGGTGATGCCGCCTTTCCCTGAGAACGCACACAACGCCTCGTGTGTAATGCCCTGTGTTCCGCGAGTGCGCGTGCCCCGTCGTCCATGCTAGGACGTGTGTAACACTGACTGACTGACTGTAGGTTGGCGATCTACGCGGGTACTTTGCCCTGCCGCGCGACGTGGGCGGCAGTATGCGCGCCGCGCCCTTTCTGACCGCGCGGTGCCGCCCCCTTCAACCAGTGTCATCCACAAACCTCTGGGTTCGATTCTCAGCCCGCCCGACGCCACTGCCCTAGGTGGTCACCGCTCCTGCCCGCCCGCCCCTCCTGCTCGGACGGCGAGCGGTTGTACGTGGTGGGCGAGCACTACTATTGGAGGGTGCGGCCCACAGTCCATGTTCACATCACCGCGCATTGCGCGCGGCGCGCCTCGCCTGTTTCAATGCGTCGACCTGGCCTTAGGTGCGGCTCCCGTTCTCTCTCGCGGCGGCGCCGGAGTCTCGCCTCGTCGCGTCGCTTACCACACGGTATGACACGCCGCAGCTGGCGGTGCGGCCGGACCGGGCGCCGCGCGAGGACTCGGAGCTGTCCTTCCGGCTCGCCAGCCAGGCTCGCGCGTCATGGATCACGAATAGTAGTCGGTGTGATGAACGCATCGCCCGCCCCTCCTCTTCATCGGACGCCGCCCGCCCTCGTCATCGCCGCGCCCCTCCTCAAGCCAGGGCCCCCGGCCTCGAGCTTAGAGCCATAGCGGACCGGCGACCCCCTCCCAACCTTCTCGGAACCTTCTCGGAACCCTCCCGCAGGCTCCCGACGTCACGCCCGAGGGCGGCGACCTCGCCGGCCCCTCCCTCCTCGCCGCGCGTGCGCTCTACAGCGAGCTGCGCAGCGCGCCTTGGGCAGCACCGTAAGGAGTGTGTGAGCGCTCAGCGGACAGGCGCGGTGATTTATTTTCCTCACCTGGCCCTGGCGCGCTGGCCACGACCCTGCCACGTGGTTCGGTCTACGGCCACGAGCGTGTCTCTAGACTTCCTTGTGGCACGTCCACTTCGCACTTGACACTCTAAGATGCCCTCTGTAACACTATAAGAGATCTCAAACTGCTGCACACTGCATGGGAAAAATCAACAGTCACAACAGTGGTCCGTGTGCACATTTACGGCTTTATCATTTTGGGGGCAAGAACAACACTTATGCCCCGTCGCAGCGCACCGCCGACGCGCGACGGCCGGCGGAGGTACAGCAGCACAGCGTAGCGAAGCGCTAGCTATGCAAGGGACCGCGGCCGCGGAACCGGCGGCGGACGGGGCTGGTGCGCAAGCGCCGGCCACCGTCGTGCTGCAGGCCTGCACCGGGGGTGCGCAGCGGACCCTGGAATAGCTACGATCGCGCGCAACTGGAAGACGCGGTGATGGTCGCAAGGCTCGCAGGTGCGTCGCAGGTCAGGCTGATAAGGCCTGGCTACGCGACCATCGAGGTCGACCTGAAGCACGAGAAGGCCGCGGGCGACCGCGAGTCTGTGCAGGCGGCGGAGCGCTTGTTCATCGAGCGCACCGCGCCGCGGAAGAAGGAGGAGCTGACGGAGGAGCAGAAGGATGCTCGGGCCGCGGCTCGCAGGGCCAAAAAGGCCCGGCAGAAGGCGAACAGGGCGAAGAAGAAGGCTGCGGCGGCGGCTGCGAGCGAGGCCGAGCGTGCGGGCTACCCGTACGCGCAGCTGCGCGAGAACGCCATGTTCGTGATGGAGGGCCTGGAGGCTGCGACGCAGGCGGCGCGCATCCCCACCGGGTCCAACATTCAGGTCGCCTACGCGCTGCCTCCAGAGGGGGGCAGCGGGTTCGGCGACATGGTGTACGCCACGGTCCCTATGGGCTCCGTGGCGACGAAGGTCGCCCGGGACTGGCTCGCCAACGAGCTCTACGAGCCGTCCCGGCGAGGCAAAATTGATGCGGCCTGCAGGGACCGAAAGGTTGCCGACCTGATCACGGCTGCCGGCGCCTCGGCGCCGGCCGACGCCGTGTTCGGCGGCAGGTTCGCGACGGGCGAGACGCCCCGCCCGACGACCTCCGCCTCCGAGGCGGACGAGGGCGACGGCGGCGATGGCGGGGCCGAGAACATGTCCTTTGACTTATTCTAGGTCCCCACCCCTGGCCTCACCCATATCTTACCTTCTGCCCCCCCCTCCTGCGACCCCCCAGGCTAGATGGAGTAGTCAGATGTAGACTTTGCCCCACACAGCCCCTTACCCCTTCACCCTCGCCTCGCTGCTTGGTGTTTCTGAACACGTAGTCGTCCACGCTGTGGGGGTTTGTGCGGGTCCTGTGTCTGGGAGGGAGGGAGTGGGGTGCAGGTTGCTCACCCACGGCACCGGGCCGGTGCTTGCACTTTGAATGCCGTGGGGCTCCTGCCCGTGTCCCGGGCGTGGAGATGCGAGGGTCGCCCCCCCTTGCCCCACCACTTTGTGTGTGTGGAGACGTTTACCTTACCTTACCTTAGCGAAGCGCGTGTTCGGCGTGTGAGACCCCAGTCGCAGTGCGCGTCGTACCGCTGCCCCGGCAGGTTGGTAGCGCACCAGCTGGAAGGGCTCGGCGGAAGTGTATCGCGCGCCTTGCGGGGGGGGCGCGGAAAAGAGGAACCTCTTAGCGCCATCGCCAGGGAGGGTGCTGCAAGCAGCGCCGGGCGACGACTCGCGCCCGTGAATTTTCCCCGTGCGCGGAAAGCGGGCCGCCCGCGTGGCGTGTCTCTACTGGTTGCACCCAAACAGTAAATTTTGATGCACTTTCATTATCAGGACAGTAAAGTTTGGCACTTGGCCAGTCACAACTCTCAACAATTCTCGAGCCCAGTCACACCGCTGCTATGCAGACACCATTCGTCTTACTGCTCTCGCAGTCGCTATCGCAGGCACCACCCGGCTTGTGCAACAGCTTCTGCGCCCAGAAGACCCAACCCTGGGATGTGCGGTGCACCTGGAACGGCTGCGGCGCCTGCACCGAGTGCCCCGTGGTGTCACAGCCACAGATCGTGCCACCACCTGCCCCTCCTCCCCCGTCTCCGCCGCCACCCCCGTTCTGCCCGGCCTTCTGCGCCAGGAAGACAGACACCTGGGATGATCTGTGCACCTGGGACGGCTGCGGGACCTGCACCGAGTGCCTTCCGATCAGCGCACGGGTGACCGCCTAGCTTAGCCAACCGCTAGCGCGCCGAAACAAGAACAGGGGGGGGAGATGCCTGGGAGGCGGAGATGGCACACGCGCACTCGCTCGCACCGTGTGCGCAGGTCACAGTCTCGCCGTCGCCTTCACCGCCACCGCCAGCGCTGCCCTCTCCCCCCTCCCCACCTGCGGCGCCGGAGGGGTATGGCGGTGACAGAGTCGGACGACGTCTCCGAGTGCAGCTCTGCCAGGGCGACGCGGAATGAAGTTTTTCTGCTCAATAACAAGCAGCGCTGGGAGAGGGCCGACTTCAAGGAGCTGCTCGGGGATGCTTCGAACGAGACCTATGTCGGCCCGCTGGCGAGCACCTGCGCGGCCGCAGCTCCCTCCTGCAGGTCGCGATTGAGCGAGATTGCGGCCCTGCCTGCTCCTAGCAGCAACCCGTTCCGAGATTACGACTGGTGTCTCAAGAGAGCCGCCTGCCCAGCACCAATCGGCGCCGACTGCGTCGCACGAGAGTGCGCGGCTCTTGTGCAGAAGTGTGAGTCGGCCGGCTCCGCAACGTCTCTCCCGATTGGAATCGTCACGGTCGACGCGCACGTGCACAGCGACCACCCGGGCGTCCAACGATGGAAGATGTACGCATCGGTGCACAACTACACGTACATTAGCAAGTGGCCTGAGGTGCCTCCGGACGCAAATGAGTGCGCGAATCGAATCATGCTCCAAGATTGGTCGTCGTCGCTCATCATGCTGGACATCATTCGAGACCCGCAGTATGCGCACGTCGCCTACTTCATGTACGTCGAGCTCGACCAGTGGATGGTGCGATCGAGCACGACCTTCCGCCCATCCGCCCCGCGACCCATGCCTGCAAGTGCACTTAGCTCACGAGGCTCTGTCCATCTGCCAGGTACGCCCGATGGCGCGGCTCGAGCCCCTGTTTGAGATCGCCCACCTGACGAGCGACTTGGACTCCGCGCCAGTGATGGCGGTCGTCGACGAGTACCCCTGCCGCGATGTCCGCGGTGGCGGGCTGTACAACGCCGGCACATACTTCGTGCGGCGACACCCCGTGGTCTCCAGCATTCTTTCTGCCTGGCACCAGTCCGAGTTCTACGGGGGTGCTGGGAGCCCAGACTGGCCTGCAAGGCAGGGTGCCTTTTCGCACGACCCACAAGTGTACGCCGCGCACAGCCGCCGCATCACGGCGTTCCCGGCGGGCTGCGTCGCCGGATCGCCGTTTGCACCTCTGATTGGCCATGCTCTCGGGGGCACCATCAACGGGGTCTTTGATCCAAACGTTGCCCGTGTGGAGGTGAAGCGGGAGGTGCACCAGTGCGTGATGGGCTCGTTGCTAGACAGGCAGGCGAGAACCTGCGTACTCAAGCAGAAGATCGACGGGGCTACTGCTCGGTGCACATTGAACCGCCACGGCCGCGGCGTCGACCGTCCGAGCGTCGTGGGTGTTGGACTGTTGCAGGGGAGCGGGAGGCCTAGCTTGTGGCACTTGACACTTTTAAACACGTTACTAGAGCCGTACACGTAGAGCCGTACACGCCAGCTGCTCCTGCCCGTGTCCCGGGCGTGGAGATGCGAGGGTCGCCCCCCCTTGGCTGATTCTCACGCGTTGTCCGACACCCACGGCGCGCTGCGCAGCTCTCTGTAGAGGTCGTGCGCCGCGAGGGAGAGGGCGCCGTCCGAGTTGAGGTCGCTCACCTGAGGGGTTAGCAAGCAAGGTGAGGCGCGAGCTCCTCCACACACGCTTTTGTGGGGGCTCACAGGCTGAGCCGCCCTCGCTCACCTCGACGCCGTGGTTCTGGTTGCCTCCAATCTTGAAGGAGAGCTCGGAGTCTTCCCGCGGCGTCTGCAGCGGCAGCACCGCCAGCTGCGGCGACTCGTACTTTGTGGTGAGCGACGCGTAGAGGTAGACGGACGGCGCTTGCGCGAGCGCAAACGGCAGCTTGACCTGACGGGCACACAAGGCAGGGACGGGAAGTCTGGCTCGAAAGTCTGGCGGCGCCACACGCGCCACACGCGGGCGTGCAAGGCTACCCCCGCGTGCGCTGTGCTGCTGCTTCACCTTCCAGTAGTAAAACTCGTCGCGCACGTAGAGGCGCTCCTCGTCCTCCGTGCCGAGCAGGAAGGGCCCCGCCGGCACACGAGGCGGTAACGCGAAGTACCCCCTCAGGTCGCCTAGATCAGAAACACACCCGGAGATGCGCGTCTGTTTCTGGGCCCCCCGCACACCACACCCGCGAAGGTGGTCGCCGATCGTGGTGAGCGAGGTCGTGTGCGGCATGCCCGAGATCTTGACCGAGCGCTGCCAGCTGGTGGCGGGCAGCGGCACGCGCGGCGAGCGCGGCTGGCCAACCTCCGCCTTCTCCATGTGGAAGTTCTGCTCCACCTTGACCTCGCAGTGCGCCGCGTACCGTCCGACGCAGTTGGCGGCGGTGGCGGCGAGCTGCGCGCGCTCGGTGCCCTTGACGGAGAGAGTGAGGTCCGTGCTGCCCGTGCCCGGCGCCGAGCCGAGGTTGGCGCTCATGTAGCGCGCGCCCTTGAGGGTTAGGCGCGTGGTCAGCTTCACCTTGGAGCGGCCCTGGTTGACGACGAGGTCCTCCGCCGTGTCGAGCTCCGTCTGGCGAAAGAGCTCGAAGGTGGCGTGGGCGAGTGTGACTGACGAGACCGACGCCGAGGCCTGCATCGCCCTCGCAACCATCGCGATGGCGGCGGTCTCGTTGACGAAGTACGACGGCATCACCCCCATCTCAAACTCCTTGGAGAAGGGCGTGTCGGCCGTGTGCACCTAAGGTCAGCTCACGGAAACTTCTCCACGCGTGCACAAGGGGGCGGGGCAAGGGGGGGCAGGCAGTCCTCGCGACTCCACGTCTAAGCGACGGGAGCCGGCCCGGCACTCAAAGTGCGAGGGGCCCGGTGCGCGTGGGTGAGCGGTGTGAGCGGTGTGAGCGGTCTGTGCGCACCTCCTCGCCCGGCCACTTGAAGGTATACATCCGGAGGAGGTAGGTTCCGACTGCGCCGCAGAGGACGATGACGAGTAGAACGGGGCCGACTGGGTCGTCGTAGCCCAGCGGGTCCTTGCGCTTGATCTTCTTGAGGCGGAGGAGGAAGGTGAGGAGGCCGTACAGCATCAGCAGCAGCGCCGAGCACCTATCCACTTATGGATGATGAGTCACGAATGCACTCTCAGCGGCACAGCAGCAGCAGCGCCGAGCGCATGATCATCAGGCCGCCGCCGTCCTGCTCCGCGCCCGCCACGTCCTGTTCACAGCTGGAGGTGTGAAGAGACGCTGTTCACGGTGTGGCCGTCCATGTCCTCCATGTCGTCCTCAAGCTCGGTGATTGCGATGCCGACCGACAGGAGCAACATGCCCGCGCTCAGCCACGACGTGAAGGTGCGCTCGTTCGCGAAGAACGTCTTGGGCTCCATGCGGGCGGCGGGGCTCCGTGCGACGCGCTTGCCCGCCGTCGGGTCGCCGTCCACCATCCGGCTCCACGCGGTCTGCGTCCCCCCGGCGGAGGCGGAGCCGAGGTGGCTGAAGGAGGGGAGCGCGAAGCTCCACGAGCCGTCGAAGCTCCACGAGCGCGTGCGCCGCGGGCCTGACGGCACCGTCACCGTCTCTGACGGCGCCGACTCTGGCGGCACCGCCTGCTTGGCGGCAACGCCGCCGCCCGCCGTGACGGAGCGCGCGTTGAGCGGCGACGAGCCCGCCTTCGCCGCCGGCGCCACCGTCTTCATCCACTCGGCAGCACGTACTCGCTCACCGAAAGATAAGCGTTGCGCTGAGTCGAGGTGGCCACCTAGGCATCGACGATGGGGCTGGGCTGCGGGCGAGGAGGAGGGTGCTGACGAGGGCGCGGAGCTATAGGCGAGGAGGAGGG